GTTTTAGAACGTATAATGTAATGTAATATTCGCATGACTTATAAATATTAAGTAGCAAAAAAAAATTATTTTTACTCCTTATCCCAAATTATCAACCTTCTAAAACATGAAGTTGATGTTATTCAACAATATTATTTTAGCCTCAATCAAAAAGCTAACCTCTTTACTGGAAACATTTCGTGGACCTTTAACGTCCTTTATTTTTAAACAACTCCGTAGCTCTATGTGGGAACATCCATCTTTTATTTTATTTACTATTAACCCCGTAACTCCAATGTGGGGTAACCAAAGTTCTTTAGCAAATATTGTGTTAATTACAAGTTAAAAAGAACTCGCATTGCGAAATTTCAAAGCGCATTATTCTCGCACAATTCTCCAGTTTTCAGCTCTCACCATAATTACATTCGTGTGTTTTTTCTTTGGTAAGAAAAAGAACATTAGGCGTTAATGACTTTGCCGCATCGACGCATGTCCCTGTACATATACTTCTTTCATTAAGGGCTTTGCTAAGAATTTGTTAAAGGCTTTGTTTATGTGTGAAAACTGGCAGTAGAGTTTATCAAGCTAAACTCTGCATTGTAATGTGTTAGTAATAGGAGTTATTTTGCATCAAAACTAGATTCTGTAGGCCTAGGAAGGGCGCCACGATAAGCTTTTATCACGGCATTTTATCGATTTTACGCGATAAGCTCATAAATTTGTCGAATAAAATCAACGATAAGATTTTATCACGTCACGTATCATAAGCCAGCTAATGTGCTGTTGACTGTAACATTTACGAAAAAATATTATAAAATAAAATATTTCCGCCTCTAATCTCGTTCTCACCACTGTGCAACCAGGATCTACAGAATAGCTGCTAGTAAAATCCAACCACGGCCAAGTTTCAGGAAAGTTAAGCTTACTGACCCGCAACGAAATTAATCAGAAGAAAATAAAAGTTAAGTCAAAGAAAACTAGCGCCGCGCCGTTTTGGTGGCAATGCTTTGCTCTTATAAACGTCAAAAATAAAATCTCTAAACCTTGCCTTTGGTTTCGCATGGGTGTTTATTATACGTATAAACTTTCTTCTTTATCACTCTTTGCTGAAAATTGCATTAAAATCCGTTGCCTAGTTTTAGCCTAGGCGCAGACCATCGATTTTTCGACGGCCGATAGTTTAGTCGGGCATTTGATCGATCAGTATGGGCATGTATGGAAGTGCGCGCACTTGGCCGCGACTGATTTGGCCGATTCTTCATACAAATTAAAATCGGGCCCAACTATCGGCCAACTAAATATCGATGGTCTGCGCCTAGTCTTAAAGATCTAGGAAAGCGTACAACCAGCGGGAGTGACTTTGTTTATAATTAGAAAAAGTTTCAAACCTAACAGAATGGCTCCTGTGATAGTGTTAAGTGTAGCAACAAATTACTGAGCAGTCTCTAAGGCTGGATGGCACCATCTTACTTTAACTTTGACAAACGTCAAAAATCAAACTCCATACAAAAAACACCGGTTATCGTTATAGTCACGGTCAAAGCTAGATGGTGCAATTCAGCCTAAGTTAGGAAATATTACAGGTAACAGCTAAAATTTTGGACAATTAACTCAAATCCATTAACGTTGGTGCGAACCACAGATTGTGGTCAAGGTAACTGCCAGAATTGTCCGAGCCGACCGCCATTACACTGATGATCGAAACCGCACTCCAACCGTTTGGGTGAAAAGGATAATGGCACGGCTTAAGAGAAAGGTAATATCCGATTGGACACGTCTAGCTGAACTAAATTTTATATGAGAACAGTTCCGTAACTATCCAAGGGCTAATTAATACTGACGTACGGACTTCGGTAGTATTCGCCTTTTAAAGTTGATAATTTAGATTATCCTGCTTTCGCCTCCGAGATTTATTTTACCATGTAGTACCCCTGTACGACAACCCAATCCGCACACAATATTCAGCGTAGTAGTATTAAAAAACAAAAGAGCGGGCAACCCCACCCCTACCACGCTGTGGGCTCGGTGTCCGAGCGGTCTCATTCCTTTGTGCGCACGCGCAACGACCGCACGCAGTATAAGAAAAATGCTTAAGTGACGTCACCAGGACGTTTTTACCGACAAAAAACGTAATTATTTTAAGTTGTGCAGTGTAGTGACGAGAATTAGACCCAACAAAAGGTTGGTTGTAACAACTATTTTGTGCAAGTGCTCGTACATTTTTATTATAAGCGTTGTGACACGACGCGTAACTTTGACCCATTTTTAGCTCCAAGTTAACGCGCGATGTTAACCAGTAGCCATTTTTTATGATCAAACGAACTTACCAAGTGAAGTTCGATCTAAATTATCCTGTTTTCGCCGAAGAGATTTAAGGTCCCTCCCAACCCGAAGATTTCTATATCTTCTTCCCTGGAGGTAAACGTCAATGTCATCTCTTCTCTAAATATAATGAGACCGCTCGGACACCGAGCCCACAGCGTGGTAGGGGTGGGGTTGCCCGCTCTTTTGTTTTTTAATACTACTTCGCTGAATATTGTGTGCGGATTGGGTTGTCGTACAGGGGTACTACATGGTAAAATAAATCTCTTCGGCGAAAACAGGATAATTTAGATCGAACTTCACTTGGTAAGTTCGTTTGATCATTCAATTTAGGTGTTGAATTAGGGAGTGTACCTACTCATAAACTTATTTATTTATCGCATAATAAATCTGTATTTTTAAATATTTTTGAAGGGTTCCAGCTGAAACAAAAAACATCATGAAAGGTAAGTTTTTTTTTGCAAAAAGGCTTTTATAAAGCACTATTACCTACACATCCCAAACCCAATATTACTCTAACCCCATCATTGCATCGGGACATTAAATAAGCCAGTGCTGAGAAGAAGCAGCGCAAGAAACTCAGTCACTATTGTCAGCACCTTTTTCAGGAGAATTTTGATGCTAACTTGACTAGGCTACTTTTAATTTCAACAAGGCACTGCACACTTATTGTACTTTAAAATCTCTAACATACACGTTCTTGTAGGTACCTAACATTTTCGGTCTTCGCACTTACCCCGATTAGTACCCGAAAATCGTTAGCGTTCATCTATCAAACTGTCGCAACCCTTCATTGTCTGGAAGTCCATACAAACTCGCTGGGGGATTGTGAAGTTTGCCTTGATGTATTTGTTGAGTTTCTTGAAACAACGCAATGGGCAAATTGCTTTTGTTTTGAGACTGTATTCAAAGTGCAATTAATAAATTATTAATATCGTTTAGTTGCATCTGCGTAGGTCTTGGGTTCGATGCCCTTACGTAGATGACATCAGGGTCATAATATATTTTTAATTAAAAAGATGCCATGTTAGACCTTTGATCTCTCTACGACTGACATGGTTTTAATCCTATTATTTTATTAAACGAATGAAGAAAGTTTCTCATTTGTCCCTCACGAGATTCGAACTTACAGCCGCAGGTGACAATTCAATGAACATTAAATTCTTTTAAACACTTCCTTTCACATTATGATAAATGTCGTTAATACGGCTTTAGAAAAAAGCAAGATTCTGTTTCAATTTTACTCGAAAATTGAACCTCAATTTGAAAGTAGGCTTAAAGATGACAGCATTAATTTTCCAAACCAATAAACACAAAAAGAACTCATTCATTTGGGTGTGTTTGATTCAGTTTTTGTGACTATCGTAATAAGGTCGAAATTACCTCCGCAGTTGTATTCAGGAGAGAAATGATTTATACTGTCGCTGTGGCGTTCACGCGGCGTACTTTCCTGGTAGAAACGTCGGAAATTCGCGTCGACATGTGAACATCTGGGAAGAAATATAATGCTGGTTGTACACTTGCAAACTGGCTTGAGCTAAGCCTGAATATACACTAGAGAGCTGACGGGAACCGGCAACCGTGAGACACTGACACAGGCAGTAACAGCTCTAAAACTAGATTCATACTTTGCTAGATGCAAATGGAGGATTTGGACTATTTTTCACGCTAACCGGGTTAAGGACCAATCATTGGCTTAAATATTTTCTTGAGCGTAGTATATTGTTTCTCTTTGATGAATGTTCTACAAAAAATGTAAAGCTTTTGTTATGTTTAATATGCAGGTATGTACAATAAGTAGATATTTGAGGTAAGTTAAAAGTTTTCGAATGCTTTATAATTTGAATATTTTATACATAGTTTTTCTAGATGGAGTTCTAAAAAATATGGATGTAATTAATTTATTATTATGGTTAGAAATCTTGACCTATCATTCTATATTTTTGTATTTTTGAATACTATTTGAAATCACGTGTTTTTAAATGGTGTTTATGTGCTTATTTAAAGGCTTTGTGTTTATGGCTCAAACTAGAATGTTGTCCATTAAGACCTTGTGATTAAAGTCTTACTTTTCTCATCGCTCAGTTTCTCCTCATCTCTGGTGGAGACACACCTTAGCATTCGTGCCATAGGCTCATTAAGGGCCAACTTTCCGTCTTGTCTGATGGAGGCTGTAGTACTAATTAGGCCAATTCCAGCGACGCTAGATTTACGTAATCTGTGTGGAGAGTGGAGAAAGGAATTGTGTTTGCTAATAGTCTTAGGCCCGGTTTTTTGATTGGTAGTTAAAATAACCAATGGTCAAATTTGACAGATGTCAAATGACAAGTGGTTAAATATCAGAGAAAAATGTTTTTCGAACAATGGTTAGCTTGACTTTTAGTACATTTTTTAACTATTTGTTTACATTTTGTTAATATTTAACCATTAGTAGCAAAATTTAACAATTAGTTATTTTAACTAAGAAAAAAAACTGGGCCTTAGATGTGCTTTTGTTTTTATTTTGTTGACTAATATTTAAAGAAAAGGAAGGAAGGTTATTTTAGCTTTGCTTCTGTGAAGAATAGGTTGGATTATTTTAACTTTAAGGGATTTAGAATGTTCGTTTGTTTTTCAACTTTTTACCTTTTTTTTTTCAGTTGTGATTTTCAAATGATACTTACCATGGGATGCAAGGACTATAAGGGGTTCCCAAACACTTGCTAAAGAAATTGTATTACCTAAAGATTTACGATGGCATTAAATGAGTTGGGAGTGCACTTTATGGTAAAAGGAGTTAAAGTAATAAACTCGCATTTCTCATTTAATTTTGTTCTTCAAACCAATACAAAAAAGACAAACCAGTTTGCTCTGTATCATCGCGTGCAAAAGAAAAACTACAGAATAACGCTTGCAAAAACGCTTCCGTACCCACAAGCGTAATAAAGCTCGAATAACAAGTGCTAAAATCCTACAAAAAATGTAGCGCAAACCGAGTTATTACGACGAGACCTAAAAAAGAAACGTTTACCGAAAGAATTTCATTAAAACTCAGACCTCGGATCGTGTAAACTGGACGCGAATTTTTGACACTTGTAAGGGAGCTTGCAGACGAGCTACAGTATATTGACGACTGCTTGCGACATCAGTCAGCTGATATCGCCGACAACAGATATTCCAATTAGTCGACCGTCACCAACATCATCATCATCATCATGATCATTTCAGCCATAGGACGTCCACAGCTGAACATAGGCCTCCCCCAATGCTTTCCACGTTGATCGATTGGTAGCGGCCTGCGTCCAGCGCTTCCCTGCTACTTTTACGATATCGTCGGTCCACCTTGTAGGTGGACATCCCACGCTGCGTTTTCCGGTACGCGGCCTCCATTCCAGAACCTTGCTGCCCCATCGGTCGTCAGTTCTGCGTACCATGTGCCCTGCCCATTGCCACTTCAGCTTGCTAATCTGTTGCCAACGTAACACGAATACCGTCGCTGGTCGCCGACAGTCGCCGATATGCATTTCTCTCTCTCGTCACGCGACTCTCAAAAACGGGCAGTTACTAACGTATGTCTCAGAGTGTGTCATGTCATGACAGCGCAAAGCGCGAGTCAGAAACAGTCACCGTCAGCCGCCTACTGTCGCTGACAGTTGTCTACAGTCGCTGACAGTCGCCTACAGTCACTGACCGTCGCCTACCACTATCACAAGCAGTCGCCGACATAAGTCGCTCGTCTGGGACCTCTCTAAGCTGGACGCGAATTTTTGACACTCGCAAAGTGTAAATCGGCTTGCAAGGCGCGAAAATACCTGGATATTTTCCAACCTTTGTTCGGGTTAGGCTCGCCTTACAATGAATTGTTGCAAAATGTTTTCAAATAATAATATTTTTGATTGTTTTGGTGAATACAATTGATTTTCCGTAAATAAAATCGTTTCTATGAATTCTTATAAATAGACTAAAGCATATGACAGAAAATGTTATATTCATAAGTATTATTTTTGGAATCAGATTTAAAAGACAAATCTAAATGCGAATAAGATAAATATAAAAATTACTATTGTAAGCAATATAAAAAATATAGGTACCTAATGTAACACTTCAGGGACTATAATAATGTTGGGTATTACTGGTACTACCTACTACACTCGCGAGCAAAAGTTAACCATTTTAAAGATTAAACTTTTATCTTTAAATTGATACCAAATTCATTTAAATCACACCAGTATTTAAAAAGATATCCCGGCTGATGTGAAGAAGTAACGAAAAAGACATGTATCAACTGTTTGATACGTCGCGAGTTGCGGCCTATTTACCCCCTATAAAAGCACGCGTTTTCGGATTTTTGCTTTCACACGTTGATTCATACACATCTCCGCTTCTTTTGACACTTTACCTGGGATTCTACACTTTCAGAAGCAGCACAAATCGTTGCACTATTGTAAGAAAGGCTCAGCCAGCGGGCTGTCGCACGTCAGCGCCACATAAGCCAGTCCTGGGTTTCGAAAGTTTCAAGACGCTTTCGGGAGACTAGTGGCTTTATCCCGAGACCAAGTACTGAACAGCGCCGGTGCACATCGCAGAGGGAAGACCGTTTTTTCATGTCAACCTCTCTATGAAATCGTTATTTGACTGGAATCGACGTCCAGCAAGAGCTCAAAAATGTTCGTAGGATAGCTGTTAGCGAGTAAACTTTCGAAACCCAGGACTGGCTTATGTGGCGCTGACGTGCGACAGCCCGCTGGCTGAGCCTTTCTTGCAATAGTGCAACAATTTGTGCTGCTTCTGAAAGTGTAGAATCCCAGGTAAAGTGTCAAAAGAAGCGGAGATGTGTATAAATCAACGTGTGAAAGCAAAAATCCGAAAACGCGTGCTTTTATAGGGGGTAAATAGGCCGCAACTAGCGACGTGTCAAACAGTTGATACATGTCTTTTTCGTTACTTCTTCACATCAGCCGGGATATCTTTATACTGGTGTGATTTAAATGAATTTGGTATCAATTTAAAGATAAAAGTTTAATCTTTAAAATGGTGCCACTTTTTTTGTTCCTAACAAATTCGTTAGTACACAAGATCGCGTGGAAACAACTTCATGTAAGTGATTCCATACTTTTGCTCGCGAGTGTAGTAGTAGATACTTGTAAGTACACTAAAGATTGTTTTACAACCTGTAAGATATTTAAAAAGCTTTTCTTTCACAAATTCATCGGAAATCTAATCCTACTTTTTACTAATATTACGAGAAATACGAAATTTTCAATGTCTGGATGTCTGGATGTTTGTTACTCTTTCACGCAAAAACTACTGAACGGATTTTGTTGAAACTTTACAGTATTATTGTTTGTAACCCAGATTAACATATTATTATAGGCTATAATTTATGCCGATCTGTGACACTAAATTTCACACGGTTGAAGCCGCGGGCAAAAGATAGTTATACATAGTTCCACCACCAAAGGTTTCACTAAGTTTTCAATATCACCAGTGGCCTCCTGCAACTGCAAACTTAAGTCATAACATTACAGTAATGACGTCATTATACTGCGCTGCTGCAGTGAGAGGCCGTTGCAATTAAATTTAATGCGATAGGTACTCCATTTTCGCCGCATTTAGACCTGGCTCAGGGGAAAGCCCGCTAGGGAAAACTCTGCTGCAACCGGGCGAAGTGCGATTGCAACAAAAATATCGTGTTTTCTTTTGACAATGGGCTGTTGTGTTCGTTGTAAAAATAATATTAATGTGCCATTAAAATCTGTTATTAAACCCTGTTGTCAAATTTTATCAAATTTTGTTTAACAAGTTATTAGTCCGAACTACAATTTTAAATAGACAAAGAAACATGTTATTTTCTATTTAACCGACTTCAAAAAGGAGGAGCCTTATCCAATAGGATATTTTATATGTTTTTCTTGTTCACATAACACTCTTATAACCCTAGATTTAAACGGTGAGCGGTGACCTGGGCAAAATGAGTATAACCAAGTTAAAATCTTCTCAAGCATTATACCTAATTATGGTAACCAGCTTCTAATAAAGGTAAACTTGTCAAAACATTATCGAGGCAAGTAAAAAGTAATACTTTTGCAGAAAAATAATAGCACTAAATAAAACCACTCATATTATTATCATAATCTTTCAAGTAATATAGTGATTTACTTTTATAAAATTGGCAATCTAAATATTATAACTCAAAGGTGACTGACTGACTGACTGACCGACTGGCATAGTGATCTATCGACGCACAGCCCAAACCACTGGACGGGTCAGGCTGTTTGGCATGCAGGTAAATGTTATGACGTAGGCATCCGCTAAGAAAGGATTTTACGCAACTGCACCCCTAATGGGGGTAAAACGGGATCCGAGCGTACGAAGTCGCGGGCGGCCGCTAGTACAGTATAAATTGATTTTTTAAATAACGGTGAATTTACATCTAAATCCTTCTAAAATTCGAGTGCTAGCATTGGAATTACTCTAATCTTAGAAAAGTATTCTAGAATACTTTAATATAAGTAATATATAAAAGTATTATAGAATAAGCTCTAGAGCTTACAAGATAAAGTTCAATTTACGAAAAAAGAAATCAATAAGATTTTATTAACGACAAATTGCACAACTTAAGCCATTCGGTACACTCAGCGTGTTTCTTAGACTTGTTAACGTTTCTTTTCTCTACAACATAATAAAGGTAAAGTAGGATCACTCAATAATTTATGATATATCAATATTTCACTTTACTGTTACATACGTTCTACAATCACTAGTTTATTGCTCATCATTTCGTTTCGTTCGTTTCAGCCGAATGACGTCCACTGCTGGACAAAGGCCTCCTCCAAGGATTTTCACAAGCTCTGGTCTTGCGCTGTCTATAATGATAATTATCATTTTTACATGTCTTTTAATGAAGTAGATGGTGTTTAAAAAAGTTAAACTACATCTCATTAGTTCTACAGGGTGTTAGGTAAATGGGTATATGAGCCGACACTAGCCCATGTTAACATGGTCATATAAATGGTATGGTGAAGTCAGAAAATAGATATCTTCATTTTAATTATTTTATTTTTCATACAAATCGGATTTTATAAAATTAATTTTGTATGAAAATCAAAAAAAATAAAATGATGATAATATATCAAATTTCTGACTTCACCATACCATTTATATGACCATGTTAACTTGGGCTAGTGTCGGCTCATATACCCATTTACCTAACACCCTGTATAAACCATGAACTGATTTAGCTAAATATTCATACCATCCTCTCCCTGGGCTATCTGGAAGAGATCCCTTGCTAGCAATAAGACTGCCTAATTGTGCTATTTTAATTTTGTATTGATTTTATTCGTCATTTTTGTGTGGTATGCATTGGCTCTGTATTTACTGACTTTACATAAAAACTGGTATTATCATAAGGAATCTGGAAATTTATAGACTCAACGGGACTAAGCAGTGAACTCTAAACACAAGAGCTGCCACAATAGATCAAACTTGATCGAGCTGGCGCAAATGAAGGCCCAAAACACCAATAATAATAAGGAGAAACTACCGCATCCTATCTCCACTATGGTTTTTCTTAAGCCTATTTGTTTGTAATGTACTGAAAAAACGGACGAAGGAGAGATTTGCGACCTAGGTTATTGCTTTTTTCTTTATAGTTGACGCAAATTGTAAATGTTTGTAAAAGGGGGTTGAAAATAACTTCTTTCACTTCGAAATATAGTGTTACTGTTAGCGCAGTTGGAAAGAATGATAAAGTGTTTCATAGCAAGTTGGGTTTAGTAATCACAAAACTCTTTTGTTGGCTTGTTCTGGTAAAAAGTTTATAGGAAACTTTTATAGGAGAATTAGCTTTTATAGGAGAATTACGTTTATGGGAGAATTAGCATTTTTTCTATGTATGTACACCGATTACATCGAGATTTCTGAGCCGATTTACGTGAGTCATGTTTTCATCGATGCGGAATAGTTGCCATTTAGTCCCATAAAAATTTGATTTGATTTGGTTTAGTAATTTTTATTAAATGAGCATTTTTAGTTTTTAGCATGCTCATGTGAACACTTTTTTCGTGACAATTACGTCGTCTAGGTACCTTTAATTTTATTTACGCCAAAGTAGGTATGTCAAAATTTGACTGTCCAGGATTAATATGTAGGTATGAATCTGATACATACCTACTTTATTCCAAATTCAAATTCCTTCTTATTCAGGCTAATATTATTGCACGATTAATTACTGAAATCATTAAATTACATAATACAGCATTTAGCAAAATACCGTACAAAGGCACCATACTTGGCAAAAGCAACAAACGACTAGTTTTATAGCGTGGTCTCCACTAATGAAATTAAGCAATACTTAGCTTTATTCACTAACGAAACACGCTTTTATTGCCTACTTTGGCTAAATGTCAAGAAACTAAACGTAGCGTGCGACCAAGTTCTTATTGTTAGGATTGGAAAGAAATGAGATTTGGAAGAATTAATTAAAGAAATTGGTACACTTTGAGTCACTTCGTTCTTAGTTCTTACGAACTGCCATGTGTTTTGGGACTAGTGATGAGACACGTGCAAGGGAAAATCCATAAATCAATTTTATTTATTGCTGTAATTATACAATTTTGTTTCCGATTATATTTCTGTTTTTTATTTCCTATGGGACTTTATGAAACCATCATAATTTTTACATTTCGCAAAATGACGCGTTCCAAAAACGACGCAACACGCCTATGGCACGTAAAATTTTAATGCACCATATTATCATCTTCGTCTTTATTGCCCATATAAATATTTGCATAAAATTTACGGATGTAAACAAACAGAATAAAGCTTAATATTTTGATGGCAGTTATTCAACATTTGTACTCGCTTTTACTCAAAAACTTAGACAGTAAAATTTGTGATAAAACTTTCAACTGCGTAGGCGTAACCTGTAATAAGAAAGACGGCTCATTACGCCAAAATCTTTAGTATCTTATGTAGTCTAAAAGGATATAATTCGTTACAAGTTTTTGATAGCAGACCAACATACGCAGGTGAATTGCGACAGTAATTGACCGTAGACCGCAGGCCTGGCACGACTATTTTGAACTAATTAATAGAAATAAAACAAAACCATTGTGACATCGCAGTCACCTAACTCGCATGATTTTACTAGAAAGATTAGCAATGGCACCGCAATTTAATCAAGTTGCGGTCTACAGTCGGTCATTTGCCACATCAAAAATTCCCGTTTTATAATACCGGGTGACCCAACACTATCTGGCCATGTTCCAGAGTTGCCGAAAAACTTTTTACTAACGCCCCCCACCGGGTAATTTCGTTTGCAACCGCTGCGTGTGCTAATGAATTTCAGAAGCTCCCCCAATCAAAGTTTTCTCGTTTGCCATGATGTATACCGTCGACGAAGTTTTGACGGATTGCATGTGAAGATTTTGGGATTAGTCGAGACATGCGAGTGGAAATGAAATCTCTTTGGTGGTTTCCATTTTTGAATTAGCTTTGGTCGAAAAAGGTCGTGTAAGTTCCGCATTTGAAGTGGAATGGCAGTAGAAGAGGTATTATTGATACTTTAAAACGAAAACTCATGTTTGGGATACTAACTAGCCTTATAGAAACTAAAAATCTAAGCTCTATAATAAAATGATAATGTTGGGGTGCAAGCTGGTGTACACTATATTTAAAAATGTAAGTAACCTTAGTTAGTTTAGAACCAGCTTTATTATTAATTTCTTTTATTACATATACTTATAAAAGAGTCCGTTAAATACTTAGACTTTTGCTATTTAATTTCTTATTAATTAAGGCTTCTACAAAAGAGCTTGTTACCTTGAAAATATATTTGTTTACTCTATTTATTTCTGACTTAATTAGCAAGTAAAGGCTACCACCTACACAACTGGAGCTTTCTGATTCTAGAAATCAGCCATTTCCCTTATTAATAATTAATGTGCATTAAGAAACAAATTACTGTTTACTTCGTTGAAGATCTTAAGATATTTCACTTAATTCCCGTTCACGGAAGTCTTACCTCTAGAAAACGGAGTTATTTGTCAAATTTAATTACAGAACAATACTCTTTAATACCATTCGGCATTCCAGACAAAAGCACTTTTTGAATGGAATCATTCATTTCCACTATGAAGTTTCATTTCGTTGATAGCGATCTTCACAGACAATCTGTCTCTAGAGACGCCTATTTAAAAAATATTTACATATTTACTATAGTAATATTTTTGTTATTAAACAAAATTACACATAACACAATCAGTGTTGTTGCACTATTAATTTAGTACTTCACAATCACGATTATATTTTTTAAAGTATAATATCAATTTGTAAAAACACGTTACTAATGATCCCGTTAGGCCTAGGA